ACAAATTGGTGCATTTGCTTTCGTTTCAAGCCGTCAAAGTCCTCACTGTCTTCTCTCAACGCAAGAAGGTTAAGTATCTCAAATGAGGCCTTAAGTGCAATATGGCAGCTCTTAGCATCTGCCTGGGCTCCTACAGCAGTTGCCACCGTAGACACGACATGTGAGCCAGGTGTCGAAGCTGCCGCAGAAGGGAGCTGAGTATCTCCACCAGTTGGGCGACACAGGCCCTGATCACCAACGGCCGAGCTTGATCGCAAGTCAACTCGAGCTATTTCATACAAGAACTCCGCAGAGGGGATAGATAGCAAGTGGGACGTGCACAGAGTGAGCCGCGCCAAAACGTATCGATATAACGGCCACCAGCTGCAACAAACAAAGCAGGTATCCTCGTAAGCAATAGAGAAGCTGCGTCAATACACAGACGCTGGAGTACACGATGCCCACAACAAACCTGCAGGCACTGGAGCAGTTAGCACCGTCAGAGAAACTTTTCTTACCCTGTGCTCCGAACCGCCCCAGAAAAGCGCATGCTGCTTCCAACAGAAATTTGTGGCTCGTTTGCCACTGGCTGACTTAACCTCCTTGGTTGCTCCGTAGGCGGAGTTGCATGAGTAACTGAAGAAACTTCAGGATCTGCAGCTTCTCCATCCGTCGCCGCTTGCAAGGAGGCAGCACTTTGATCCTCGGCGTTTTCATGACACGAAATATCGACACTTTGCTGCGGCGTGCCAGACTCCGCAGTGGTACACTCCGCTGGCTTGGATTCGAGCTGCCACGATGTCTGGTGGCCGTAAGTGTGCGACGCAAAAGCCGTGGCTAAAGTGAAGTACAGCTGGCGCGCCGTCATCATCCGATGGCCATCAAACATGGCGTCGGCGAGCTCACAAGCCAAGATCGGACAACTGCGGTAGCCTCCAACAAGCTGAAAGCGCAGAACAACGCGTTCACATCATTTTGCCAGTGCAAGGGCATGAATAGGCACAAAGCCCTTCTAACTACTCTGAAACTACCGAAACTTGCAATTTTTACGCTATTCACGAAACAGACCTTGTAAGCGATATGGGCTTTAGACAACAAGTGCGTTGCATGCGTTAGCACTTGAGCCTCGTTGAAAAAGAAGATAAATCGAAGGAACACTTCTTTCTGTGCAGCGGCTGCAGCTGCTTCGGGGTTTTGGGAGCCTGACGTTGCGAAGGCAGCTGCTCCATGCTGTACAAAGACAGTGCACCCACACCCCAAACAAGCCCAACATTTCGTAAAAGTACACACAAGCAGACAAAGACATCGCAAAAGCTGCCGCAGTGATACAATAACAAGCTGAGACTTGCCTGAAGGGTGTCCGGCTGCCCCAGCCACTGCGATGGCACCCCCAGCCCGCCTTTCATTGAGGGGGGAGGATGCACCTCCTTTGCAGTCCTGATCCAGGCTCTGACGTGTTGAAGGTATCGAGCGGCGGCTTGATAGTGGAAGCCAGCGAGCTGCCACACGTCGCGCGTGTCAAGAGATGAAGGGCTCGAGTGCATGGCTTCTTCGCACAGTTGAGCGAGCAGCTGGTGCAGTTGCGCCAACCAAAGGGGCAGCAAATAGCCCTGTAAGGGAGACTCCGGGATATTTTCCCGAAGAACTGCGCGGTGCTCGCGTGCGTGGTGAGCTGCCTTGGCTGGCTCTTTCGCTTTGAAGTACATCGGGTACATGCGCACGCTAATCAAATTGCACACCGTCATTCGTTCCAGTGCAGGGGCCATCTGCGTGTAGCTTGTCAGGAACTGCCAAGCTGTTATGTAGCTTTTCATTGCGGCGTGGGGCTGTTGTGCAAATTCGAGCATGTACCCTGCCTTTATCAAGCATCTGGTCTGTGGACATGAGCACCAAAGGCAGCCGTGGCAAGCGCTGCTGAAGGCAGAGACGAAAGACTTACTGGGGACAAAGGCAAAAACAAAACTGAGAAGCTGCAGTGGGATTTTGCTTGATGAGATTATCTGCAAAGATAGACGGACCTGGTACACATGGAAAGCACTGGTTTGAGAACGGTCTCCCTTGAATGTCACTTGTGTCTGCTTTCGGTAACGTCGCGCTTCGTTTTCGTAGTATTCCACGCTACATTCAAAGGAAACCTGAGAAGACATTTGGAGACTGTCCACAGACAACGCGTCGGGCCAAAAGTCTGGGGAAAAGCGATTAATGAGAGAAAGAACAGTAGTGAGGCCGATCAAGATTACAAAATTGAGGAGAAATTTGCGTGAAGTTCGTAGAGGTTTCTTCGGGCTGTGCACCTGCTCGAGTTTCTCCAGCTTTGACTTCAAGTCATCGACGCCGCACGTTATAAAGATCGCCGCTATATCTGCTGGGTTGAGCCTCTTCAGAAAGCCAACGGCAGACTGGGGGTCTTCCATGCCGCCGGGCAGAATGACGAACACAATCTGAAAAGGAAAAGGCTGGAGGAGTTGAGAAGCACTCAACGCTCATTTCAGATCTTAATGTGGCTTTGGAAAGCGGCAAGCTCTTATGTGTGCCAGCCTTGCCATGGCCCTCTCCTGCACTAGTCACGCGGTGTGCCTTTCACGTTGAACCTTACCATCTTCGGGATGACAACGCGTCTCTGGAGCCTGTCCCTGAAGAACTCAATGATAGCCATGGCTTCCGCTTCAGCAGAGGCCACTGCGCTGCCTCGAGCGAAAACAGCAGCTCGAGATTCCGCCACGCCCCCCGGCGTTCTGGATGCCGCAGCAGCTGAGACTGAAGCCAGAGACTCCGAGCCCGAGCTGGTGGACAGCCCCGGCCGCGGATCTTCAGCCTGAGTGTGTGTGGAGGCTGCAGCGAACTGCTGCTGCGCTGCAGCAGAGTCGGGCGGGGCCTCCAGACGCTGCCTACAGCCATCTCGAGTGCAGCACGCACTGGACTGTGCAGAACACTGTTGACGGGCGGATATGTCTGGGAGGGGCGAGGCGGAGTTTTGGCAACATCCGCAGCAAACAGATCGTATGTCGTACACTCTTCTCCAGTCGAAACAGAGAATGAGACAAGAAGGCCTTTCTGTGCGCATCCGCTGCATCCATGTATGCTTGAGAAAGCCCTGCGGCCGCAGTTCATGAGGAAAGAGAGCCTTGAAACATATCAAAAGCAAAGAAACCCGTAACCAGGCCTACATATACTCAGATGCACTGGCTAATTTGTGTACTTACTTTGTTCACAAGTTGTCCTCCCGATACAATCTTCTTACGTTGCGGGCCCTTCTCGCGCTTCACCCCAGAGCCAGGCGGCTCCGCGGGAAACAGAAGCCTCGCAGAAACGCATTTTTCACTGCTCACGCTGCCTCCCTGAGGCTGGTCTGGTTGAGGTGGAGTGTGCTGATCCCCACTAGGGGGCGTTCCAGACTTCTCTGGGTGGGCTCCTGCATCAGTCGATGCACTGCACGACTCGGCTGGACCACTTTTCGGAATAGCGTCCGCAGCAGCATCCTGTGTAAGACCCCGACAATCTTGTGTCTGCACAAACACTGGCAGGGACGCTGCGCAGCATTGCAGGCAGTGTTCAAGTCCTCGACTGCTCGTGTAGTGACCACACTCATTCCTGTGCCTTCAGTGCATCCCGCTCGTATGAAGGCTCTTGCATACTAAAAAACAAATTTACCTCATCTGCGTCACAGAATACATAGGTCAAACGCTGCCGCCTACTCCGCGAGCTGGCCCGGTCGCAATCAAACGTCTGACGTAGCAAGGCGTGCAGGCCTCTCGGTGCACATACGCATATCAGGGGTATTGGTGGAGGGCTGCATGATGGAGGAGAAAGGGGAAACATTAGAGAATAAGTACAGCAGTGTTTCGTTCAGCAACGTCCAGCGAACTCTGCTCAGCTGGGCTGTTAAGCTGGGATAGGACAGTTGAGTCCCCCCTCACAGATTGTGAGAGTAAAAACGGTGCGCGGTGTAGCGCTAAGGATCAATAAACTCACAGTGATGTGCTCAAGCATTGTGTTTCTGCATCCGAAGCGCTGTTTTACGCGCTGAGCATCCCGCATTCGATGCAACGGGGCCTGCTGGGGCCCTGGCTGAACTGGGACCAGGTCGGCTCCCCTTTGCCTTCTACATATGCTTAGCCCCAGATTTTAGTGGTAACAAGAGTATAAAAGCCATCTTTACTTTTCACTTTGCTTTCCCCAAGCGTGCGTCAAGGTCTAGTGATTGCATCAACGCGAGAACGGTTTTGTGCTGCGCCGACTTGGTCTTGTGCCCCCAGCAGACCAGCACCTTTTAGCATCGGAATAGCTGTTAAGCGCATAGCTCTGAAAATGCAAGATGGAATTTTATAGGTGTATACAGCATGCATAGGGCTTCGAGCGACTGTTTATCAGGCTTTTGACGGTGGCTGGCTGCACCCGAGTCGCCGGTCATCCGCCCGCGCAACCGCTTGAGACCGTGCGTAGCAACAGCTTGCTGCTTGAATGTCTTCGGGAAGCGCTCAACGCCTTCCTGGAGACAATCAAGCAAACTACTGTTGGGCTGTGAAATAGATTCTCGCACAGCTTCGGCAGCGGCAGCTCAGGTGTGTAATGCAGAGCACCCAGTGGCACATACCGCACGCAGGCGTGTCAAACAGGGCGAGCTACGTCAATTGAAGTAAAGTGTTGCTGAAGATGGAGCCTGAGTTGGCAGACACAGAGAAAACGGCTGATGCTTCATCCGCGCCAGAGGCCAGCTTGTCATTTGAAGGCGCGTTATGCAAGATTTTCCTGAGTTCCACAGCATTCAAGGCAAGCTTAGTCGTCCCTGAAGGATTGCCACCCAATTTTTCTACATAGTTGCAGCTTTTTTAGAGTGTTAAAGGTAGCATGTCGCCTCTTTCCCGGGAGAGTCTAGGTATTTGTGGAGCTATGATACTAGTGTGGGGCCTTTCAGCCGCTGTGTCTACAGCCATCGGGGCGAAATTATTGCTTTTGTGCAGGTGCAAGCTGCTGCAAAACGATGGAGTTCACTAATTGAGGTGCTCTGTTTCATCCAAATAATGCTGTTATGCCTTTCCACTCGGCTGTTCCCATTTATTCGGGGCGAGTCAACGATCTATGACTTCGACCCGTACTTCAACCACCGCGCAACCAAGTTCCTTGCCAAGGAGGGCTTCAGCGAGTTCTGGAATTGGTACGATGATGGTGAGCCTCTGCGCCCTTCACTCTGTTTAGGGAGCCCCCACCCTAATCAACCTGTGGCCTTTTTTTTTAATTTGTGCAAAGTGCTTTCGGATTCGAATGCTCACATTGTGACGTTTGCTGCAGCAAGTTGGTATCCACTTGGACGGCCATCAGGGCAAACTCTTTTCCCAGGACTGATGACAACCTCTTATTTATTTCACAAAATCTTGAGCTTTTGTGGCATAATAGTCAGCGTGTATGATGTTTCCTGTTATCTTCCGCCCTTCTTCTCCTGCTTAACAGCTCTTGTAGTTCACTGCTTCACCAAGCATGCCAGCGGCTCGCGAGCGGCCGGGCTCTTTGCGGCGCTGTTTGTTGGAATATCTCCTGCCTACGTTAAGACTTCGCTTGTGGGATCCTACGACAATGAGTGCATAGCAATATTTGCTATGATTTGCGGGTTTTATATGTGGACCCGTGCTGTAAAGAGAGGCACAATGATATCAGCTCTCTTAGCTGCTCTCCCGTCTGCTTACATGGTCTCTGCTTGGGGTGGTTATGTATTTCTTATCAATGCGATTGCCATTCATGTGTTCGCCTTATGCGTACTTGGGCTAATAACTCCAAAACACGAGGTGGCGTACATTGTATTTTACGTCATCATTACCGCATGCTGCATCAATATTCCCTTTCTCAACTTCACCCCTCTCTGGAGCTCTGAGCATATGGCCAGCCACGGAGTGTTCGTGCTCGTCATTGCGTCTGCGGTAGCTCGCTTTGCTTCTTCGCTAGTTCCCAAGGACCTTGTGAAGGACCTTCAAGCCTGGGTTATTGGACTAGCAGGTCTCCTTATATTGATCGTCCTTTTAATATTGGCTCTCACGGTAATTCAAGTAGAAGGGGTTGGGTCGCCCTTATTTTCGCAATATTGATACACAATGTGTTTTTGCAAACATTGCTGGTGAACGAAAGTGACCAAGGATTCTTGCCACTGTGTTTAATAGGGCAAAACAGCGTGGTCGCCGAGGTCCTTAACTTTGCTGGATCCTACTTACGCAACCAAGTATATACCTATCGTGGCTTCTGTGTCAGAGCACCAACCACCAACTTGGTCAACATACTTCCTTGACCTCCACATGATAATGTTTCTTGCTCCATTGGGACTAATTCTATCTCTCCAACGAGGGGGAGGCCTGTTCTTCGTTGGCCTATATGGCGTGCTGGCTTGCTACTTCTCAGGTGGGACAGTTGCCCTGTCTAGGTAGCACTTCCACGCCCGTGACGGCGCACGAGCAATAGGCATTAGGCCGCCAGAGTCTGCGACTGACGAGCAGAATGGTAGTTGATACCGAAACGTTTTGCTATTCATTGAATACAGATGGCATGCGCACTTATTTTGCGCAGCCGTCATGGTCAGACTTGTGCTCGTTCTTTCACCGGCGGCATCCATCCTTGCTGGGATCGGCGCAGCTACCTTAGTTGCCGGGGTTCTATCTCAATGTCGTAAGGTTTACCCTGGCGACAGTGGTACGACCTTGAAATCTGTAAGCTTCCATTTGAACTAGCTGCTCTGCACTTGTGCTGCTGCTTGGTGCTCGGCCTGCGTGGGCTGGAAGATTACGGCAGAACCATTGAACACCTGTTCCTTTTGTCCCCCGCAGCTCGGTATCCAAGTGATAAGAAACGGCATTTTCAGGATTCCCTTCACAGTGTCTATTCCAGTGCTACTAGCATTTTTCTGGCTATGTGTCATGGTAAGGACCAGAAATTTGGTAACATTACGAATCGGGGTTCGCTACAACATGACGACATTCGGGAGTTATTTTTGCGGATTTGGTTCAGTATGTTGTCCACTGCACTTGGATGGCCTCTGCAGTGCTTTCGAACAGAAGCATCTTTATGGGTCCGTCCAAGTCTAGTTTTGACCACCTTGCCGGAGGCAAATATTAAAGGCCACTAGTGCACAAACCAGCTTAATGCTTGCGCAGCACTCTAATGTTCGAACTTCCACGCAGGCCTTGCTTCAGAGCTCGTAGAAGGCTACAAAACGCTCCGTTTGATGAACTGTATCTCATATTTTTGCTGCAGGAGGGCCAATTGGTCGCTCCAAAGCGCCAAAGCCTGATGACTTTCGCGAAGCATACGATTGGTTTCGTCAAAACACTCACCCAAAGTCTCGAATTATGGCCTGGTCTGTTTAAGACTGTGGTAGCACCTTCATTTTGTGCGCGCGTATGCGTTACACGGGTTTCATTTGAACTTAGTAAGCGACAAGGAAGAGAGGTTCCACCCGGATCATTTCAGTGAAGCTAGCACAACGACTCTTTGTGGTGAAGGTGGGACTATGGATATCAAGTATCAGAAGTTGGGAACAGGACGGTTTTTGTGGACAACAATACGTGGAACAGCACGCACATCGCAACTGTTGGGCTTGTAAGCATTCTCAACAGCGTCATCGTGGAAACTGCATGTTTCGTGCAAATGAAGAGACAAAACAGGAGGGAGCTGCTGCACTGTGTATTCCATCAAACTGCCTATGCGCTGCATTCTGTCGCTACGGACTATTCACAGCATTCTGAGTGCGCTGCAATTATATTTAGGCCTTTGGGTCTGAGGAATTCCAAGCCTACGAGATAGCTCAAGACCTGGATGTTGACTATGTATTTGTAAGCAACTACAACCCAAAGCCAAAATGAGTCAAAGCTGGCAAAGTCAGATTAGTGAGGAAATAAGCTCGTATGCAAAATCTAAAGTTTCTCAGGTCGTCTTCGGTGGCATGGCGCGGTTTTCCAGCGATGACCTCAACAAGTTGATCTGGATGATTCGCATTGCATCTGGAGTTTTCCCCGATATGCAACAGTCAGACTACCTCGGACCCAAGGGGCAGGTATATCCGTTTAAAAAAATGTGAAATCGGGACAATATGTGTGCATGTAGCTGATAAAGACATTTGGCGTTGTATGCGTGCGCAGTTCACCGTTGGAGAAGGAGCGCCGAACGCCCTTCTGAATAGCCTGCTTTATAAGCTTAGCTACCAACATTTCGGCAAGGCAACTAAAGGCTTCGACTTCGCGAGAAGGACACAAGTAAATGCCGGAGATATCGTGCTCAAACATTTCGAGGAGGTCTTCACCTCAGAAAATTGGGTTGTTCGAATCTACAAGGTAGGTCTGCTATTACCAGAACGTTTCCCTGTATCGTTACGCTAGTCATTCTTCACCTTATTGCACATTGTCTGTGCGTGTAATATCAGGTTCGCAAAGCAGACAACCGGGATGCAAGAATGCTCAACGCCATCGAAAGTGCATTTCATTAAAAAAGCAGCACCGAAAGTTGTGTAAGAATATGTCGCGCAAGCAAAACAATGCAAGGCGATTGATGCCAGTTCTCTTAAGCGGTTTGCTGGCGGATCTTCTCGTAGATGGAGTCGTGGTATTGCTTGACCCTCTGCACTTCCGCATCTGCAAAAAGGTCTCGTAACAACACATGCATAGGGTATACCCATATTTTTTGTCATACCGTCGGGCCTGAAAACATTTTGAACTTAAAACCAATTTTTAATGTATGTATGATATTGATAAAACTTACACGTATTCCAAGAAGATCAGCGGGATGAGACTGCGCGCATTGATGGAAAATGTTGCACCGTCCATGGAGAAACGTCACAGAATTATTTCTTACAGGCTTGCACCACAAAGCATGATGTATCCAGTCAGATGTGTGAAGTTGCTAGAAGTTATCCCGGCCATATATGTTAGAACTGCACTGATTCCGCGCGAGACCATAGACCCGGTGTTCCTAACAGACATCATCATGGCGTAGACACTGCCCTCAAGGCCTGTTTAAGAATTTGTTGACAAATACTCTAGTAATTTGTGATGGAAGACATTCTTACCTGGGGGACAGATTGAAGCTGTCAACACCAGAAGGGGGAGTAGTTGGATTTCAGCGGTCTGACAGATGCAGAAGTTGGATTGATCCTGGACCAAGATTGTCTTGCATTTTGCTTACAGCTTCAATGAGAAAGCCTCCACTGAGAACGAACGCCTTGTTACTAATGCCAAGGGTTCTGTTGAACCCAGTGGTAAGAATGACTGGGAAAAAAAAACGATCATGAAAGTTGTTACGATAAGCATTACTCGATAGTGCTTACTGGGTGAAAGGTAGATGGGCACAGCTACAAGAATAGTGGCGAGGAGGGTTTTGCGGAAACCGGTCCTTTTGAAGAACGTCCGGTACATCACCACTCCAACCAGCGCGGCGATACCGTAGGTGAACCTGGGAATGCAATGTGGCAAAGCGGCATATAGATACGCCAAGCAACAAACCAACCTCAGGGTTCCCATAAAGGTTGGAGAGAAGCCGAGCTTGTTTGTGAAGTAGAAAAATAGAGCATCATCATAGTCAGGCCCAGCCATGTACGCGAAAATGTATAGAGCGGGTCCCCAAATAACAGCTGAAGAGCAGTGATATCGACGATCTCCTCAAAGTGAACGGCAAAATCCTTACATTGCTTCAGGAATTCCATGAGCAGGCGCAGTTGCGTCTTCATGTCGTATGATGGCGCTCCACCAACATCTTCCATGAAGAGGGTGATAAAGGCAATGAACAGAGGGAATATGGATGTTGCCAGGAAGATGCCTAAGAAGCGACAATAAGCAAAGTCCTTTTCCGAATGATGCCGCATCTTCCCTACTCTGCTTTGAAGTTTTCTCTAGCAGGTAACCCGACAAGTAGGCGACGATCAGACTGCCAACTGCTTTCGCAGTGATAAAGTCGGACACATTCTCTGCACTCTGTAATCAAATATGAGGGATATCGCTCGCCTAGCACTGTGTAAAATGAAAATGCCTACCTGGTCCATTGACCTCCCAGCGGTAGTTTCAACAACCAAAGCTTCTGCAACTGCCGAGCAGAAAGAAGCGGATATCTGGAGAGGAACGATATTACTTCTGTTCTTTGAAGTTCATTTGTCTGCGTTTTGGCCTACCGATATCAAGAATAGGGAGAGCAGAGCGGTCAAGATCTGAAGTCGGAGGATTTTGCCTTGTTTTCAAGTGAACAGATACAAATAGAACACGCACGTGTGTGGGAAACGTTCCCAACATGATAAAGCCAAGCCCTTCTAACAAGCTGAAGGCAATCATGTAGGGCTTTCTACGGCCGCCGCGGAGAGGATACGAATCCGAAATGAAGGC